TCTAAAAGAGTACTGTGGCAGTAGGAACCTTATAGATTAAATGGAAGCGTACTCAATGAAACAGCAGCTATTTGAGGCCAACAGTGGTAATGCAGAGATGAGATCAACAACCCAATAAACTTTAGCATATTTGGATGTGCCTGGCTGTGAGGTTTTAAAAAACGGAGGTATTTATTGCAGGAGTTAGGGATTGTACTGGAAACCAGACAGGAACACGATTGGGGAAACAAAGCAGAAGGGTGATGGCAGCAGAAGCGCTTGAAAAAAACAATGCCACTAGCACCAAAGAACATAGGTATCACAAACCTCACGTACAAAATTATTTGAAGGCTTTATCTAAGTCTTGTAAAGACTGCAAAAGCAAAGCAGAAAGCTTTCTAATACTTCTTGGATCCAGAGGGCAGGACAAAAGCTAAATTGCATACTATTTGTAACTCACTATCATTAATAGTTAAGAAGTTATGCTTCTACTTTGACTTCAAAGACACTGGTAACTCCCTTGTCTTCCACATCCTAAAAAATTAGACAAAGCAGGTTGCTCTTGATAGCATCTACTCTGTTCCATCTAGCTCGGCAGGATCTATAAACTGCTGCAGAGAGGAACAATTGAGAGCCTGAAGAGTCAATACAAATCTTAACTATTTGGACAGGATATCAATTCTTCCAGAAGCTAGTTTATATTGATTAGGAGGTGTTTTATTTTACTTTCAGAAACAATTAGCAACAGCGTCCGCTGCCCTGAAGAGAAGTTAACATTTAACATCTGAAGCACAGAATTTTAAAAAAAACATCACCAAACTAATTAGACATCAAAATGTGCTCATTTCCTTGACATGATCATATCCATCTGCCAATTATTGTTAAGTCACATCCACTGTTAGATCTATAGGAAGCACTGAGCCTGTGGCAAAACGGTTTCTGCCAGTGACAGACCAATATCAACTCTTGGTTGGAACCTTATTTTGATAATCTGCTCTTTAACAACATTGGTTTAGTGAAAATTAAGTAGACAACGTGGCTCTACTACATGAAGATTAATTAGTTAAACTTTAAATGCTCTTTATGGAAACTATAAGCATTAATTTTGCAATCTTTACAAAACCAGATCCCCACCAAGTTTTTCTTCTGCATCACCATTCCTTCATCAGTTTTTAATTCTCTTCAAACTAACTAACCTGACTAGAACTGTATGAGCGATATTTCTTGTATCACTGCAAAATGCAAGCAAAATTGAAGATTGACTCTTTTTGTGCCCTTGTTCAACTGATACTATGGACAATTTAAGGTTTAAAACATCTTTTAAAAAAACTGAACTGAAGCCCAGGTTTCTCTTTAGCCCGATCACAAATGCTATTTAACCTGAGTCTCCACATGAGGTAACATACTTTTAGTCAGCTGTTTTAAATTATCTTTATTTTTAAAAGAGCATAGATTTAGGCTGCCCAAAAGAAGCAACCAAAGAAACTAAATAATCTTGGGGGCTGACAGAGTAACTATTTGGAAATCACGACTTCATGTTTATACTTTATTTCTAAGGAAGAAACTAGATTCTAACTACTGCTGCTGCAGGAGTCCACATCACTTTATAAAGGAAGCCCAGGAAGCATAGCGCTTATGTGTTTTAAAATTAAATCAGCAAAAGCTAGAGTCAGGAGTGAAAAGAGTGAAAATAAACCCGGGTTTAACTTGCATAAACATCACTCCTTTTTCTCTTGTAAGGTGCTCTACTTTGAAAATAAGAATTTCCTCCCATATTCGTCTGGCTCTAGATATCAAAGCTTTCCACGCAGACCTCGGAGACCCC